TAGAAAAACCCAAAGGCAAGCAAAGGTTCAAAGAGTTTGTTCCCCCCTCCCCATCTTCAGTTCTTCATAGGTCTTATTTGTCACTCCCACTCCCTGGTCATGACTAAGCATGAGATTAATTTTGCATCTTTAGGAGATAATGCAGTACGTTATGAACAAAAAGGGTTATTATGCAAGTTGGGGTGGGGGGAAGCAATGAAGATGTTTGCTGAGTGGATTGCTGGAAGCAGGGGGACACACAGTCCAGAAAGCATTCATTCCCATGAGGTTTAATAAAAGCAAAAGTGGCTAACTATGGTTGGGAGGGAGGGAGGACGAGTTGGTATTAGAAATCAACAAGTATCCATTGAAATTACCCAGATACCTGCCCAAGGGAAACATGGTCATCTATTAAATCTATTGATGTTTCTATTTATGATGAAATACATGTTTTAAGCACAAATGCCCCTTTCTAAGCATGTGAGACCAAACCAGTTAGGAATACTGTGGAAGTTCTAGTTCCCCACAGCAACTAGTAATTCCACTGAGAAAATTCAAGCCCCCAAATATTGAGGAATATACTTAGTCATGTTGATTTATAAAGCAAACCGGCATGTTCTGCCACATACACACACACACACACACACACACACACACACACACACAAAGTTCTTGAGTTCAGCAAAAAGTAAACAGAGTTAGCTACATAAAACATTATCCCAATAATTCATGCAATGCAAACAATACTAAAGTAAGCTCATCTATTCTAACAGTTTGGTTTTTTTAAAGCAAAATATTGTTTCAAAACCCAACATTCAGATAAGTAAGGTTACAATCCTACTCCACTCCTCTGAGTATAAGACGTACTGAACTCAGTGGGATTACTTCTGAACAGATTTGCAAGATTGTGCTGAAAATCTTGGTGTGCGAATATCATAAAAAGCAGTGAACTTAGAAAGGAAGAGCACTGAAGTGAAGAGTAATGAATATGTCTCATGCTAAGCTCTTTCGGCCTCAGTCCCTCATTTGTAACTCATACAGTTGGTGTAAGCATCATTAAGGGTCTCAGTAAAAATTACGGCTGCAATACTGCTTTCAGAAAGCACTCTCTCTCCCCCACACGCCCTGTTTTCGGGACTCTCCCTCCCTCCCCAAACATGCCAAGAGCTGCTTCTTATTTTGAGTCCTTGGACAACTAGCACTGCTTGTGCTTTATTCCAAACACAGGAGAAAGTTGAGGGAAGAAGTGCTGCTCTTTCAATCTGGACAAGATAAACCAGAGCACAGAAAACAAAGTCCCTGGAATCTGTTCTGCTATTATAGTGACATCATTAAAACAACTTCTCAAGGAGAGCGAGAGCTGCTACTGTTCTGCAGCTTCAGTAACAGATGCAGAACAACAATTACCTTTACAGACAAGACATGGGCAATGACCTCTTCCCCCACCAAGCCTGGAAAAAGATGCCACAGCCACAGATTATGCCATTTACCACCTGGCATAATCCTTATACCTGACAAGGCAAGCAGGATGCTGCTAATTATCTCCCAATCCACAAATATGGTTTAGGTACTAGAAAGGATAAATAAGGAGCACAGGAAGGAAAGGCTACTGTCAAGCTTCAAACTACTTATCTCTCAAGTCCACAAAACAGCCTGTATAAAACTATGGTCTCTCTGCTGGCTCCTTTGGCTTTCTGTTATGAGCACAATTCCAGGCACTAGTTTTGTACTGCAAAGCCCTTCACAACTTGAAATTCTCAGCGTAATACAGTTCAGTGATGGCACCATGACTACCATCTCAAAGGCTAACCATGTTTTGGTTGTCAGGGTTTAGCTTTCATGGCGCTTATGTCACTACAGTTGTGTTATGGTGTGGGTTACAACTTGTCTGTGAACAATCCAACAGATGCCTTCTCGGTCAAACCACACACAGTTATCAATTTTTGTGTTTGCCACACTAGGTTTAACCTTCCAGAACTGATGAAGATGATCTACCCCTTAACAATGGAAAAATTTCCGTGCAAGTACAATTGTGCTAGGGAAGTTTACTCACTATGGCTACTATCTGTCCCCTGTGCATATTTAGAATTAATGTTCAACTTCTGTATAGTAAGGCACACCACATCTTGCTTTAAGGTTCTGTTCTTACCTTCTTGGAAGATTTCTAGCCTGCTCCAGTTTGAATATATTTGTTCAAATGAGGTAGCATTGTAATAAGTAGCATTGTAAGTACGCTACAAGATGATAAATTCAAGGCTAAGCTTGTTGTTCACAATTGCTTTCTTTTCTTATTCCTTTACAGTACTGTCCTTGGTAGTATTTTCTAGCATGAAAATCTATTGGCATTAGGTTTTGCAGTGTAAATACAGGACTACTTCTGTGTTGTCAGCAAACTCACTCAGGGAATTCCAGAACTGGGACGGGAAAGCCAGGCATGCCGCAACAACTGCCTTCTCTCATGGGAAGGACTGGCTATTTTGACAATCATCTCTCCCTGTAAGCCTTTCATTCCTTATATGGGGCCAGAACATCCCTTCCCCTGAACCGGGGAATCCATTATTGCTGTTGGAATCCAAGCCAAGCTGCTATCTCTTTTCCAAGAACACAAAGGGCTTCCTCAAGAAGACACAGCCAGTTAACAGCTCTCTTCCCTAGCAGGGGATGTTTGAATGCATCTGGTGGACAGGACAATCCTGCCATGCATCTCTTCCACTGTGCTGCATACTCCTTCCCCTACAAAATATCAAGGGAACCACAGCTGTATATCATAGCCATCTCCCCCCCCCCCATTACCTGCTATCCCAAACACAAGCAAATTCACCAGCCAAGCCCATTAAATAACACTGGAATGGTAGCGGGTTTGAACACCCCCACACCACAAAATGAAGAAGACTGCTACCAACTGGGAAACTCACTGTGACAAGTTTAGTCTTGCCACTGAGAATGCAAGCATTCCACTGCCTCTGTTTCTTGAGCATCTTAAATATACACCCATTTTTGTGAACATTTGTGTCACTCATTTTCAGTTGAAGTTTTCACATGACAGGCTTCCAGAAATCCACTTATCAGGAACACTGTCTTTGAACAGGGCTGCACTCAGAAAAACACCTTAAGAGGCTCCTTTGTTTTCCCTAGTCATTTCATTCTGTTGAGTTTGGGAGTACAAACAAGCATTGCAAAAATCTCACAGCTTTTGCCTATTCAAGATCACCGCATGAGAAGAGATACTGGTTGGGTTTCTACATCATTAGAAGACATGGTGATTTCCTAGCCTTGTTAATCTGTTCCATTGTTTCTGAAAGGTACTTTTAGTTTCCCAAGACTATGGAGAGAATCAACAGTCTCATCTAAGGTTTCCACACTTCATCATGGCTTCTCCAATCATCAGGACCCAGGATATCAATTTTATTATTACTGGTATGGGAAGCCCCATCACAGAAGTGGCTGCCTAGCCTTTCATTCTCTACTACCTCAGCTCTCTAGCAGCACAAACATCATCACTTGCTTTATCCCTATTGGCTGAGCAATGCACCCATCTCCCAACCTACTTCTGGGAACATGAGAAGGGGGTAAGTGCACTGAAGGAAAAGGGGGGAATTGTTGCAGAACTGTCTATTATGGTTTAATTTAAAAATTCCGCTGGGGACTGGAGTGGCTAGGAAGTGTTGCAGCAAGTCAGGTATGCTTGGGAGGGGGAAGAGGGAGAAGCCGACTTAAAACTTTGGCAGAATGGGACTGCTGAGGCCCATAGGGAGCAAAAGTGTAAGGAGGGAGAATTTTCTTGCAAGGATGCATGGCATGCCTAATTTTCAGAATCCAAAATTAGGACTGTGGAGCAGCACGATTTCTAAAGTTCAGTATTGGAATGTGGAAACAATTTTGTGAGTTCGCTTTAATTGGAAATGTTAACTGAAGGATAGCTTCCATACTTACATAGTACACAGCACTAAAGAAATCATATACACTGAACTCCCTTTGTATCTCTGTATGCCAGAGATCTATAAAAATATTCCTGTTACCTGAAATGGTAAAAGTAATTACCCCCATCCTTTACATTCTAGCTTTCCCTTACTCTGGGATGTTCAAACGAGTTTTTAATATCAGATGATAAACATGAGAAATATTAAAAACCCTCCCAGAAATAAAAAGCTTTTTTTCTGACCCTATATGAGATATATGCAAGAAAGAATGAGACTAGTTTAATTTCTCAGAAGGAAGACATCAGTTTTGGTAGAGTGAAGGAGAAATGCACTTTCCTATGTAGTTTGAACAGTATAGGCCTTGTATAGCTGTTTATGAAATGCTTCTCCTTTGTACCAATTTTAGGAAAAAAGCTATTCTTAAAACACACACACACACACAAAAGTATCATGAGTTTTGGTAAAATTATTCACCGGTATCATACTCTGTTGCTACACAAGCCCAAATCTTTCAGTTTTAATGTGACACTCAGGTGTTGCTACTATCAAAAGCAGAATACTCTATTTTGTTTTGTTTTTTACAAAATGCCCTTAGCACAAAAGGTTTTCATTAGAAGTACTGGGTTGCTCATGTACACACACCCCAAGCACTGGAGATGGAATAGTCATTCTGGGAAGGAATGCATCTATCCCAGCTTCATGCAATTCCTAAAACTGAAAATGATACACTGAAGAAAAAAGGTTCTACAGGCACAATTCTGCAAGCCCAATTAGACTGGAAAAGCTCTATTGGTGTACTTCATTATAAACTGGTGTGAGCAGGTTATGCCTTGCAGCTACACTCAAACCACTAGTTACATAAGCACCAAATCCAAAGGGCAACAAAACCGGTTCAAGTAATTTTCCATTTTTCTAATGTTGAAATACGTTCACTGGAGTCACTGCATTCAACATGGTAAGGTTATTTTTTACATTTGAAATTCAAACTGACTCTCCTGAACATGAGACCCCTCTGCGGTATGCTTGACAAAGCCAGTGCTAAGAAGAATTCCCAGACTGCAGAATCTCCACTTTGTTTGTTTTACTATAGCTAAGCAATAACAGACAGTATTCAATCAAAGCTCTTATGCTTTGCTGCAATTCAGGTTACAACTCTGTGACTGTAAATGGCAATGAATGAACAAAGTCCTAGTTATTACTGGTAAAAGCTAGTTCAAACTGATGTTCACCACTCAGTCTACCTAGTTTTTCCTGGGAAACCACTAGCTGCTCATATACACCCAGAATTGTGAAGTGAGCTATATATAGGACAGTGTATGAATATGCTAACAAATGCAGGTCTACACTGAAATTTTCCATCTATTTATTCTCAGATAGCTTGCTAGAAGCAACTAACCTAGTGCCATCAGGCCTGCCCTCCTGGACTGCAAAATATTTCAAGACAGCATGACCACTTGGGCTACACAACAAAACAACTGCAGGCCTAAGCAAACTTAGGAGGCAGTAAATCTCCATTTAAATGTGTTTCAGACTTGATTGGAAAGGGCAAGAGGACTGGAACGCCAAGCAAACACTACATGTCGTAGATTCCCTGCTGCTATGAGCAGCAGTTATATGAAGGGCAACCAAAAATCTCCCCCCCCTCAAGCAGCTTAGCTTTAAAATCAAGTGATGTGGTCATGGTTTACATTTGTCAAACTAAAAAGGAAAATACTTAGGACAGACTTAATTTCATGAGAATGGAAGCTGCCTAATGCTGGTATAATCAGAAAGCTTACTGAAAACTATGCAAAGTATTGCATCAAGCTGCAGGATTCGCTGGATAACTAAGTTTCCTCAATGAGGCAACAGTCTCTCCTCTTTCCACCTGTCCTGCTTAATAAACAACAATAATAAGCAATCATCAAGCAGAACTTGGGCCCAGGGCCCTGTAGGGAAAATGTTGAAGAAAACTGCTCTAATTGCTTGCTTCCTTGGACTAATCATCATTCTTAGCTTAACTGCATAGTTTATTATTTTATTACAAAAGCTAAATGGGAGAGAACAACTATGTACCACATTGAGTTGCTTAAAAGAAAAGCAAAATAGTGTATACTCTGAAGTGTTCAGACATGAATAGGCAAAGGCTCTTCACTTCTAGTTTAAAACAATTTCTCCTAAGGCATGAACTCCCCAGAAATCGCCCAGATTTCAGCAAGTTTTCCCTAGACCAAACAGCAATACTCCCCTTGGAAGTTTTAAGTGGTCAAAGAGAGCCCAGCACAGAACTGATGTGCTGGTGGAACAGAAGGCAACAAGCAGTGCCTCCAGCAACTTGCACATTCAACCTAAAGCCACTAATGACTGGTCCCTGTGGATGAGAGCTGTTACCTAATACTGAAAAGCAAACAAATCCAACCCCACAGAGAGCCAGTGCGATGTAGTGGTTAAGAGTGCAAGCCCAGCTCTCATGAGCTCACTGGGTGACTTTGGGCCAGTCACAGACTCTCAGCCCAGCCTGCCTCACAGGGATAAGATTGAGAATTATGTAAGCTGCCTTGACTTCCTTGGAAGGTAAAAAGGTGGGGTAATAAATAACAAATAAAATATTCATTTCAGGATTTTTAACTCAGCCTTGCATTCAGTTCTGTCTATATGGTTTGAACTCTAAGCCTATTTAGAAAGAACCACGTCCAGATTGCAGGAAAGCATGGAGTAATATTTCCAAATCAGCCCTCATATCATTTTCACTAAGAAAGGGGTGGGCAATTTAAGACCCTCAAGATATGTTGGCCTATTACTCCCAGCCAGCATAGCTAAATGGTGAAAGATGTTGGAAGTTGTGGTTCCCCAGAAGCTTTGGCCTAAAGTTGCCCATCCCTGCCCTAAAGGCAATGAAAGAAGCATGCATGGAAATAAGTGACCTTTATTCATTCACTTCAGGGAAGTTTCCCATCTAAAGGTGCGTCATCATGCATCTGTGTGCAACAGTGAACAATGGAAATTAAAGGATTTTATGCTGCAGTATAGAGAAAGTTAACCCATGGGCCAGTAAAGTAAGTCTATATGTCCCAGTAAGAATCCTGCAGTTTATGGCACTAGTGCAGGCCGTTTTCTTGAGATGACCAAACAGAACTAATTCGCACATTAGGCAAATTAAGGGGGGAAACCTTATGTTTCTAAGATGGTAGTTTTAATTTGTACCACTAAAAACTGGTGTGGAGCAGGCACATCTTGTGGTAAGGCAGCCTTTCCCCAATCTGACACCCTCCAGAAGTTGTGCACTATTTGCAGCGCCCCTCATTATTGGCCACGTTGCTGTGGCTGGTGAGAGTTGAGGCCTGAAGCTTCTGGAGGACAGAAGGCTGGGGAAGGTTAGGGCTACGTCTAAGCCTTCGCTTACTTTTTAACGTAGGATGACTTCCAAAAAGTGATCCCCACCTCCGTTTGCCAAAATACTCCCGAGAATTCCCCCAGCAATTCTATTGTCTAGATTGGATTTGGCAACTGCGAGCTAACACTCCACTAAATCACACGCTCGTGGGCATTCAGAGTGAAACGCCGCCGAGCGGCGATGTACCAGAGCAGGATTTCCCGTCATCGCCGCCTTTTTTCGAGGGTCGCTCGACTCACACTCACTCACGCACCGGCGGAGTTCATGGTGCAGACGACCAACCGGAGCTTGAACTACCGGGAAGGAATTACCCGCCCAACTACACAATTTATTCCGTCAGCACCAGGAAGCCCCAGCTTCCTCCTTCCCTTTTCTTTTTTACCCCTTCTCTCGTGAAAGAAATGCCCGAGTCCAAATTCCACTCACTCTCTTCTGCCGCCCGGATTTCCCTCCTCCTCCCAGTCCCAGGCGGCCAGCTCCCTCTCTCTTCTGAAACAGTAAGCAAATATCCGGGAGGTGAGGATATTTGCGCCGGCGGCCCCCACCCCACCCCACCCCCGCCGCAGCCAGAGCCCAAATTCCGGCTCAATTCGCCGTCGCGAAACCTCGCTTCGGCTACCAAAAGCAGGGACGGCCGCTGCTTCGCTTGCCCGCGCCGGGCGGGATCTAACAGCACCACGGCGCACAGATAGAGCGGTCTGCCCGGGAAGGCGCCAGAGAGGCGCGCCATTCTCCCTCCCTCGCAGGCACTTGGCGAGCCTCGCTGGATCCGCCGGGCGTCCCCTTTAAAAGTCTCACCCCTTTGCCCATGGTGCCGACGGCCCTTCTTTCTGGCGTTGCTCTCTCTGGAAGGCGCAGCGAGGCAAGCAGAGACTGCCACGTGTGCGCTGCGCGCAAGCAAAAAGGCCGGCTGGGCAACGCTCGGCGACCACCGCTTGTCGGTCGACCGCCGCTGTGCGCACGGGCTGAGCGCCGTCCAAGTGGCCGTCGGCCTGCCCCTTCGCGCCGAATAAAACTCGCTCGCCCCCGACAGAGCTGGCACCGCCCAGGACGCGCGGGGCGGGGCAACGGCGCCTCGGCCTGCCTGAAGCCAGTCGCGCGGAGCGAGAGGGCGTGCTCGGGCGGCTCTGCTCCGGCTCCCCTGGGTGCACTTTCTGCGGCGCGGCGGGCGGAGTCGCCATCCTGCAGACTTCTCCGAAGCACAAAGCTCTTGCCTGTGGACGAAATGCGTGCGTCCGCCATACCCCATAGCCAGTCAGGTGATTCGAGGTGTGTGAGAGATACCTTAAATTCCATTTAACTTTAGCTTTGTGTTCTGGTAAATCATAGATGCACGGAATACAGTTTACCAAACTTCACGTGAGTAATTTAGAATACTGTAATCCAAAAAAGCTTGCCACTGCCAGCTGGAATACACGGCAACTTCACCTGTATATCAAAGATTCCAATATTTAAGATTTCATGGAGCTTACATTTCTACAGAGTAAGAGGGATTGCATCCTTAATTTGTGGGATGGGGCACGGAGACAAGCACACCTCGCTAGAGTTACTTTTGCATGAATCAACAGGTGTGCTTACATCTGATAGAAAAAGTCTGCTCGTGTTAACATAAAGGGGGAGCTATTCCCTTTTTCCTAAATGTGTATTACAGCGGGATAAGCAACTTTGTGTCTTCCTGATGATGTTGGTCTACGACATCCACCCCAACAAACAAAGCTAAAGGTAAGAGAAGATGGGAATTGCAGTCCAACAACGAATGGAGAGGCACAGTCTCCACCTCTGTCCTTAGCATGTTGGGTCATCTATGTCTTACTAAATCAACGTTAGATGAAGCAGCTTGGTTTTTCTATTCTATTGTTGCAACCTTTGATGCATCATAAGATCAAGATGATTTGCCTTATCTGTATCTTAATTCAGTGAAGTTATAGCAGTTTCACTGCTTTTATATTGAAGGACTAATGTTCTTTTTATTCAACCACTTTTATGCCCATGAAAAGAGAGCCTCATTTCCTGTATATGAAATTCATTATTATTATTATTATTATTATTATTATTATTATTATTATTATTAGTCTTCAAGGGTATTTGCTGCTGTAGAAGAAAACTGTGCATTCCAAATGATGGAAGAGGAAAGTTATACAACAGGTATCAAGTGGGCTTTTTGAGAGCAGCAAAGAGAAGTGGAAATGGGGCATATGGCAGATTAAATATTTCAGAATGGTGCCTGTTCCCCTGCACCCATCAATCGACAGTGGAAACCAGCAGGGAGGAAGGCAGGACAGCATGCACTGTGCTGAGACACATCTGTGAGAAGGGCAGGAGGAAAGACATCTGGTGACAGATGTTGGAGTTGCCCTAATAAAAAATAAAAATTCTATATTTTGGAATATAGGAAGCTTTGCCTGTTTCCTTCCTCCCCCTGCCGGGTTTTTCCATTCAGGTTCCTTATATGGGGAATGGGGAAAGGAGCCCCATATCTGATATGCAGAGCATGTCCTGCAGGGGGATGATACTATGCAACTAGTTGGAATATTCACAATTTCCTTCCTCATACTGTAAAATGCAGACATTGAAACCTGTTAAATTCTGTAACTCATTGTTTTATATTACCTTTCATGTAAGCTCCCAGTGCTCCATGATGTTTTTCCAATGTTTCTCAATGTTTCTGTGTTTTCCTTTTGTGCTTCTGTTGTTCTTGCATATCACTCATTCAAGGACTCATTTCCCTCCCTCTTATATGAATGTAAATGCAAGTCCATAAAACACTCTGAACATGCTCTGGTCTTCATAAGCATTCTTAGAGTGCTACCCTTCAGTGCTGTTGTAATTTAGGGATTTCTGTTGCTGGAAATAAAACTATAAAACTATCGAGTGCTTGATTGTATGCTTCCACTGAACCAGAGTATTCATTCCAAAAAGCTGTTTGCTGATAGCCCTGCTCCCTCAGTCCTGAGAGCTGTGCGTTGTGCAGGGAATTGCACCCCCCCCCCATCACATGAATACACTGATGTATCCCAGGATCAGAAGCCCTTCATTTTAGGCGCTCAGATTCTTTAATGAATCCAGCAACATATTCTGGGCAAATTAATTCCTTGATTTAACTTCTGGCTTCTGTCCCATGTAAGAAAGCAGCATCTTTTACTGTGGCTTTTACCATACTGTGCCCTGTACAATATAAAATAAGTAATACTAATAAAAGTATAGCTTCCATAATTCCCAGCCAACATGGCTATCGTTTTTCTTCCCAGTGGCCATGTTGGCAGGGAATTATGGGAGCTGTGGTCCAACTTATCTGGAGGACACCAGGTTGAGAAAGGCTGTTCATACACAGTATGTGCCTGCCAGTCTCCCTTGCCGTTTCATTCCTGATCCTCCAGAGAAGAGGGAGTACACAAACTGGGAGATTGGAAGCTTTCTAAGAAGGGGGGGGGGGGGGGGTGCAGAGAAAATCCAGATGCAAGGGAAAGGATGAAGCTAATGTTGTTATGCTGTTAGAGAATGGTCCTTGGGGAAAATGGACCCAGGAAAGGAACAATAATAAGCTATATATAATAATAATTTGATAAGCTATATATTTTGTCTAAGCTTTTATTTATTTATTTCTATACCATCTAATAGCCAAACTGCAATACTTTACAAAACATTAAGACATCTTTCAAAAAAAGGATACCAGACAAGAGTTAAAGCCAAGTTTAAAACAAATTTAAAAATTACAATAAAGTAAATCTTAAGACCTGCCTTAGGTAAGAAAGCAAACTAATTAAATGCCCTGTGGGAGAGGAAAGTCTCAACCTAACATGGAAAAGATAGCAAGGTTGATTGGGGAGCGTGTTCCACAACTGGGGGGCCTTCACTGAAAAAGCCCTTCTCTTTGTTGGCACCAACCAAGCCTTCCTCACAGGTGGCAATCAGAGGCAGACCCCTCATCTTGATCATGGATAGTGCCTAGGTGGGTGGTGATTGGGAGAGGTATTTTGACCGGTATTGCAGTTCCAAGCCGTGCAGGACTTTTTAGGTTGAAACTAGTACTTTGAATTGGACCCAGCAGCATATTGGCAGCCAAAGCAAGTGGGCCAGAATGGGTTTTCTTACTGTCCAATTCTCGATATTAATCTGGCTGCCACATTTTGCACAAGCTGCAGCTTCCAAACAGTCTTCAAGGGCAGACCCACATAGAATACATTGTAGCAGTCTAATTTAGAGATGATCCCTTCAAGGGGAATGGAATCCCAACTAGAACAGGTTGAAGAACCACCTACTAACAGCATCTCAGCCTTGTCTGGATTGAGCTTCAGTAGCTCTCATCCAGTCCATCATTGTGGCCAAGCACTGGTTCAGCACATCCACAGCCTCACCTGCTGAGGATGAAAAGGACAGATAGAGTTGCATGTCACTGCAGCTCTTGGATAACTCCACTGCGTGGTTTCATGTAGATGTTAAATAATATGGGGGACAGGACTCACTCCTGAGGAACCCTACACTGGAGAGACTAAGGGGAAGAGTAATGTTCCCCAAGCACTGCCTTCTGGAATGAGCTATCCAAGTAGGAGCAGAACCACTGCACTGCAGTGCTCTGCACTCCCAGCTCAGACCATAGGACAGTGGGTCCACAAACTGTGGCCCGTGGGCCAGATGTGGCCTGCCATGCTCCTTTATCTGGCCCATCTCAGAGGTTTTGGACTCGCTCAGAGAAAACAATCTCCGAGTGAGTCCAAAAGCTCTGAGCAGGTGCAAGTGTTCTTCAAAACTGAGTAGAGAGCTGGTGCGTGCACCAAATTGTAACAGCGCAATTGCGTGTGCGCCAGCTCCCCCCCCCCCTCCATTACACACATATACAGAGCGGGAATATGGAGCAGGAAACAGAAGAGAGAAGGGTGGAATGGAGAGATGAAGATGAAGAAAGTAAAACAAGATTGAAGGTAAGAATAATACAACTTTTTAAATCTATGTTTAGTTATGTGAGCCACATCCCCAGGCTGTGGGCTTTCTCCAAGTAAGCCGTGGTCAGCTTGCCGAGCCCGGGGCAGACAGGCTGAGGTGGAGCAGGGCAGGGGCTCCTGCGGCTCTGCCATGGCTTTCTCTGAGTAAGCCACAGCCGACTTGCCGAGCCTGGGGCAGATGGGCTGAGCTGGGGCGGGGGCGGGGCTCCCGTGCCTTCACCGCGGCCTTCTCTGAGAAAATGAGCAAACATTTTTAAATTTTTAATTACTTTTAAAATGTTAATTACTTTTAAAATTTATTTCAATTTGAATTAATTTTAAAAGTTATTTCAATTTAAGTATTTTTTAAATGTGCAGTGTGCATAGGTATTTGTTCATTTTTTTTCCAAACTATAGTCCGGCCCCACAACAGCCTGAGGGACAGTGAACAGGCCCGCTGTTGAAAAAGTTTAGTACCCCTGCCATAGGAGGATACAATGGTTTGCACTGAAGCAGGTTTGCACTCTGAGCCGTTGTTTCCTTCCCAGCCTAGGTCATCATATAGGGTGACCAAAGCTGCTTTTTGAGCCAAACGCAGACCTGAACCCTGACTGAAATGGATGCAGATGGATTAGAGTCTAAGTCCTGGCAGATGCAAGAGATCTTATCCTGGAAGTTCCTATCAGACATATTGTAGCAGGTGACTACAAGATGATTCCAGTATGTCCTTGGATCCAGAATGTAGTAGGCAGTACTGAACAACAGGGTGGAAAAGAGAAGACTGAATGGAGGCAGTCAGATAGTGTTTCTTTGTTGGTATCACTGCTTCCAAATATATTCAGCTACAGGCACATACACCCCTTCATGGATCACTGTCTTGTCATGGTGAACAGACTTGTGTAGCTCAATGAAGCTATGAGCTATGCCATGCAGGGGCATCCAAGACAGACAGGTCATAGTAAAGAGCTCTGACAAAAGGTGATCCACTGGAGAAGGAAATGGCAACTCACTCCAGTATCCTTGCCATGAAAACCCATTGGATACTATCCACAGGCAAAGAGATACGACACCGGAAGATGAGCCCCTCAGGTCAGAAGGTGTCCAATGTGTTACTGGGGAAGAGCAGAGGGCTTGTACAAATAGCTCTAGAAAGAGTGAAGCGACAGTGCCAAAGCTGAAAGGACACTGAGTTGCAGATGTATCTGGTGGTGAAAGGAAAGTCCGATGCTACAAGGAACAATACTGCATTGTTGTTGTTGTTAGTCGTGAAGTTGTGTCCGACCCATCGCGACCCCATGGACAACATTCTTTCAGGCCTTCCTGTCCTCCACCATCCTCCAGAGCTCACGTGACTGCTTTAGTGACTCCATCTAGCCACCTCATTCTCTGCCATCCCCTTCTTCTCTTGCCGTCATTTTTCCCCAGTATTTGGCTCTTCTCCAGTGATTCCTTCCTTCTCATTAGGTGGCCAAAGTATTTGAGTTTCATCTTCAGTATCTGTCTGGCCTTCTAAAGAGCAGTCAGGGTTGATCTCCTCTAGGACTGACCGGTTTGATCTTGCAATCCAAGGGACTCGCAGGAGTCCCCTCCAGCACCACAATTCAAAGGCCTCAATTCTTTGGTGCTCAGCCTTCCTTATGGTCCAACTTTCACAGCCATACATTGCAACTGGGAAAACCATAGGCTTGACTATACACACTTTTGTTGGCAGGGTGATGTCTCTGCTTTTTAGTATGCTGTCTAGATTTGCCATAGCTTTCCTCCCCAGAAGGAAGCATCTCTTAATTTCTTAGCTGCAGTCACTGTCTGCGGTGATCTTGGAGCCCAGGAAAATAAAATCTGTCACTACCTCCATTTCTTCCCCATCTATTTGCCAGGAAGTGAAAGGACCGGATGCCATGATCTTAGTTTTCTTAATGTTGAGTTTCAAGCCAACTTTTGCGCTCTCCTCCTTCACCCGCATCAAGAGGCTCTTTAGTTCCTCTTCACTTTCTGCCATTAGAGTGGTATCATCTGCATATCTGAGGTTGTTGATATTTCTCCCAGCAATCTTAATTCCAACTGGTGATTCATCTAGCCCTGCCTTTCTCATGATGTGCTCTGCATATAAGTTAAATATGGCGACGGTATACAGCCTTGCCGAACTCCTTTCTCAATTTTGAATCAATCAGTGGTTCCATGCCCAGTTCTCACTGTTGCTTCTTGACCCGCATATAGGTTTCTCAAGAGACAAATAAGATGGTCTGGTACTCCCATCTCTTTAAGAACTTGCCACAATTGGTTGTGATCCACACAATCAAGGGCTTTAGCATAGTCAATGAAGCAGAAGTAGATATTTTTCTGGAACTCCCTAGCTTTCTCCTTGATCCAGCTTCTGTTGGCAATTTGCTCTCTAGTTCCTCTCCCTCTTTGAAATCCTGCCTGTACTTCTGGTAGTTCTCGGTCCACATACTGCTGGAACCTAGCTTTTTAGAGCATATTGTAGGATTTTGAGCATAACTTTGCTTGCATGTGAAATGAGTGCAATGGTGTGGTAGTTTGAACATTCTTTGGCATTGCCCTTCTTTGGGATCGGAATGTAAACTGTCCTTTTCCAATCCTGTGGCCACTGTTGAGTTTTCCAAATTTGCTGGCATATTGAGTGTAGCACTTTTACTGCATCATCTTTTAGGATTTTGAATAGCTTAGCTGGAATACTGTCTCCTCCACTAGCTTTGATGTTGCTCAGACTTCCTAAGACCCATTTGACTTCACATTCCAGGATGTCTGGTCCGAGGTCAGTGACCACCCCATCGTGGTTATCAGGGACGTTAAGTGCTTTCTTGTATAGTTCTTCTGTGTAATCTTGCCACCTCTTCTTAATCTCTTCTGCCTCTGTTAGGTCCCCGCCATTTTGGTCCTTTATTGTGCCCATCTTTGCATGAAACGTTTCCTTCATATCTCCAATTTTCTTGAAGAGATCTCTGGTCCTCCCTATTCTATTGTTTTCTTCTATTTCTTTGCGCTGTTCATTTAAGAAGGCATTCTTATCTCTTCTAGCTATTCTCTGGAATTCTGCATTCAATTGGGTGTATCTTTCTCTTTCTCCCTTGCCTTTTGCGTCCCTTCTTTCCTCAGCTACTTGTAAAGCTTCCTCAGACAGCCATTTTGCTTTCTTGCATTTCTTTTTCTTTGGGATGGTTTTAGTTGCTACCTCTTGTACAGTGTTGCGAACCTCCATCTATAGTTCTTCAGGCACTCTGTCTATCAGATCTAATTCCTTAAATCCACTCTGTATTCATCAGGGATATGATTTAGGTCATACCTGATTGGCCTAGTGCTTTTTCCTACTTTCTTCAATTTAAGCCTGAATTTTGCAACAAGAAACTCATGATCTGAGCCACAGTCATCTGCTGGTTTTGTTTTTACTGACTGTATAGAGCTTCTCCATCTTTGGCTGCAGAGCACATAGTCAATCTGAATTCTCTGTTGACCATCTGGTGGTGCCCATGTGTAGAGTCATCTTTTGGGTTATTAGAAAAGAGTGTTTGCTATGACCAGTGTGTTCTCTTGACAAAATTCAAGAAGACCCTGATGCTGGGAATGATTGATGGCAAAAGGAGAAGGGGGCGGCAGAGGTTGAGGTGGCTAGATGGAGTCACTGGGGTAGTGGGTGTGGGCTTGGGTGGACTCTGCTAGATGGTGGAGCACAGGAGAGCCTGAAGAAATGTTGTCCATGGGGTCATGAAGGGTTGGACATGACTTGGTGACTAAACAAAACAAGGCACATACTAGGGCTCGTTTTATCTGCTAGGAGTTTTCTTCCATCTGCACTCAAGCCTTCTTGTAATTTATTTCATCACAATTTGCTCCAGGGTATACTGGGGAGCCTTTCAAGCTCTGCTGCAGAGAGGATGCTCTGTCAATTGATCATGTCAATTGCCTGGGTCATCTCTGGAATACAGAGATCAACCAGGGATTTGACAGGACTGCTAGCCATATCAGCCAGAAAGTCCCCCCGTGGTCTGTTATAGAAGGAAGTTAGAATGTGAACCTAATAAAGTGAATAAATGTTAAATCAAAAGCAAAAAGTAACTAATCAAGCATTATCAAAACTTTTCTGTTTATAAATGCTAAGGATTTAATAACAAACCTGTTATGCAAACTAATTCTTTGCATGCTTACTCATAAATGTCCTTCTCCATCCTCTTTGCTGATTCACTGCTAAATTATGGGCCTCAGTACCCACCAACTCACAATCTTGCATCCCTTTTTACATCCATTTGCCACTTTCTGGACCCTTCCTCCCATTTTCAGCAACCCACATCAAAACCCACATTTTTTATGGGATGTGAATCAGGCATTTAATCCCATGAAGGAAAGTATGATACAATGCGTGGTCAGAAATGATGAGACCACATTCCCTCACTGAATTAAGATTCCTGGACTGCGCTTGCACCTCTACACACTACAATGGCTCTATAGTCGAGTGAAGAGGTGCTACTTCCATGAAATTAGAGACTTTCCATCCTGGGATGTGGAGGGGAAATAATATATGATCAAACCCTTGGAAAGCAAGAGCAGGAATGATGTTAAACACATACATGTGATCCAAGACCCCTAAGACCACAAGGAGGAGAGTACATCCTCTGTTTTCATAACTGGAGCCTTCCTTTTAATTTTGGATCAGGCCTGGAATCTGTAGGAAACTGCAGATCGGAGACCAACTCCAGAACTGTGCCCGCCCTATTGTGATTCTAGTCTAGAGTCTTGTTTTGCAGGGAGAAGAGCAGAGAGAATTCTACCATTTCTGAACACACGCCAGCCCAGGTGTACTTGCCTGGGTACAAGTTATGTCATCTGATCCTAGGCAACATGAATTGTTGAAGGGAAAAAAACCCTCAAATAACCCAAGGTTCAATAAGCCATGCCATGTCAGATAACATGATAAGTTGTATCCAGGCAAGTGATTAGGTGAAGGGCTGTTGGGATGCCCTTTAAGCAAGCTATTTATTTAAAGATTATATGTAGCCATTCAGCCTGCTTTTTATTACCTATATAGCTAGCACACATAAAGGAAAGTCTGGAATCCCTTTTGTCCATATATTCTCCTGCCATGTGAAAACAATTGCTAATAAAAACAAACTGAGCTTGAAAGGAACATGGAAAAAATACTTCTCAGTTACAAGTTCTATTTTAAAAGTTAATGGTTTATAATTACATTTACTGCAGTAGTACCAAAGTTCATCAAATCAGGTTTGTAGGCCTTCCCTTTCTAGAGAGAAACGTATTAATTAGCTTGGACTGTGTCATCAACACATGGCTTCATTTGCACGTGTGCCAAGTACAGGGTAAATTAGCACAGCACTCTAAATGCAGTCCAACTTCCAGCATAGGCAGTGCAAGCATTTTATACTTCAGAGGCCTTCTAGGTGCCCCCAGAATATGAAGTGAGGTAGGTGGCTACTGCGAAGAGGGCCGTTTCCCTTGTGGATGGACCTCCCCAGTGAGACTCACCTGGTGCATCTGCCAGATGAAGGACTTACTTTATTTTACCACGCATTTTAGTCTTGCAGTTTCTGTGGTTTTACCATCTGTTCTTAAAATTGCTGCTCTTTTAACTTTGTTTTTATGCTGTAGTTTAAAACCTGTTCACATTTTTAGTTGTGTTTAATTGTGCTGTATTTTATGATTTTGATTGCTGTGAACTTCTCAGACTGTCTAGAAATGTAATACATAAATACAATATATGCCAATGTGCTTGAAAATACCAAAGCACAAAAGAATGGGGAGGACGGAATTGACTTTCTATGCCACACCCATTTTGCCCATGCAATATATGGAAATAAATATTTTCCTTAAGTTTGTGGGTAGAAACGATCATGTTAATCATTATTTGTCAATTATTTGAGATGCTGTTATTTTTTCATATAACAATAAAGTACTATATATGTTTTTTAATTCAATGGTTAGAATTTCCATAGCTTTGGATTGCCAAAAGTCAAGCTTTCTAGCTTCATGGGAAGAGCTGGGGATGTTTAAAATGATTAGAATTATTACCTTTATTTTGTTCCCCAAGTGAGACAATTAAACTTGGTAAACACTTCAGCCATCATCCCATTGTATTCCCATGCCAGTGCTCAAGCTATCTGTGTTACTTAGACAGTACTGAAAAATTTCTTCAATTATTTTGATGAAGCCTGCTTGAACAGAAAAGTTTCTATACTAATTCAGATTTCAATGGCTTCTTTCCAATCACAGATTCCTCATGAAAAATCACCAAAGGAATCAAACTAAACAGATGCCTGAGATCTACAAGAAAGTTGCCTGTCGATCCCTGTGGTCCAGAAGTGTACACACCTTTGTTTACAGGTCTTCAGTTCAGTGGAAAAGAACCAAGTAGTGACACCATGAATTTCCCTTACTAAAGATTCAGAGAGGTAGCCCTCTGTTTGCCTGTGGTGGCAAAAACAGAATCTTACAGACCCTTACAGACTCCTGTAGAATCTTAAAAATTTCATTTCTTTTAAGCCTATCCTCTAAAAAAGGTTCTTCGGCATGTGTTCACTTCTCGACAATTTCTGCTCTAGGATATAAAATTAAATCATTAATCATAATATAGGTCCATATTATAGATTCAACAATATATTAATCATAAAACCTTCTTGGGGACTTTGTTACTAAGCCATATGGAATACATACTTTAAAGCTAGTAAGTTTACTGTGTCATGAAGAAATGCAAGAATTATAGTAGCCTTTAACATTCCTGTGCAAAGCTCAAATTATGCTAGATAAGAACAGTGCCTATTTGCAGCTGATAGCAAGGCTAGGAGATTGTTATGTGAACGTAATAACTGTAAGGAGAGGGACCTCTGGCTATTGTTAAAACTGGCTAAGCAGCTTGTTGTATTTCAAGTTCTCAAGGTTACAAAGGACTAACAATCTATTCCAAGAGTCAGGGCATGAGGAGGAACAGTGAACTGAATGCCAAAGTTTTTTTATCTTCTGGTCTCTCGCTCTCTTTAAAGCCATGTAACTGAGGGGCTCCTAAAGCATTGCTTAGAAGTTGGGGCTTGTTCCCACTTGCCACTTGAACAAAATCTTCCACCTACATTTGTCAAGGTTTCACTCTGACAATGATTCATTTTCTTGACATGCCCTTTTACTTTGTGTAAGACAGAATTAGGTTATGCTAATAGGAGGACAGTTTAGGGTACAACCTTATGCATGTTGAGACAAAATAAAGCCCTACAGTTCCTTGTATTCTCCAGTCAGCCATTCTGGAAGTTTTAAGGCTTTTCTTCTGTCTAAACATGCATAGGATTGGACTTTAAATGAGTTAGATGTTCTCTTATAGACTACAGCAATTACATTTGCAGGTGATTAAAGAAAATGTCATTTGGATAATTACCATTTGGTCCCAGAATCATGGAGCTGAATGAATCTCACAGGTCATCTACTAACCCGTGTCCTTGCAGGAGTGCAGTGTCACAGCCTCCCAGATCCACGGCCATTCAGTCTAGGCTTGAAAACCTGTGGCAAAGGAGAATGCAATAGGTTCAGGGGCACTCTCTCCTCCACTGCCAGGAAGTTCCTCCTAATATTCACTTTATCCCCATTCTTGTTATTTGAAGCTATTGGTTTGTGCCCTGTCCTTTGGGGCAATGGAAAACACATTTGAAGCCTCCTTTTATTTATTTATGTCTCCTTTTAGGGTAAACTTTTATAAGGTATAAACTTTAAAACAGGCTAAAACAATAATGAATGAAATCAAAATTAACAGTTAAAATAGATGGCATCTTGTACACCAGCTCGGTGGCAGGCCAATGTATAATTCATCTGGGCCAGGTGTGCAGAATCCCGGACCCATCTGGGTCGTCCTGAGGCCACACTCCTTTTTCTGGTCTCTTGTGGTTTCCCTGCTTTCGTGCTGGTTTTCCTCTTGTTCTAAAAAGAGTCTTCTAAGGCTAAGTTACTGGCAATAAGAGCTTTATGATGAAATACATGGTGCTTTTTTTTTTTTTTTTTTTTTTTTTTTTTTCTTTCCCTTTTTTTTTTTTTTTTTTGGTGTATTTTTGACCTCACCCCCTTTGCCTTTGGCCACAGTAATGGCTGCAATGTGGCCCCCAAGGATCCTCTCCAAAATGGAATCTGGCCCTCAGGTTTAAGATTCCTGACCTAGCTAATTCTCTCATTTACATTTGAAGATAGCTCTCATATTCCATCTTAATTATCTCTTCTCCCATCCCTTTAACTTTTCTTATAGCATTTGGACTCTAGGCCCCTCAGCATCATTGTTTCTATTCTCTGGACACATTCCACTTTGTCAGTGTGCTTAAACAGCAGTGCCAAGGCTGAACATAGCACTCCAGGTCCAATCTGACCAAAGCCAAATGCAAGCACGTCTTGTGTTCAGCACTGCTGAAGCAGCCCAGAACTGATCTTTTTTAGCCAACACACCACACTGCTGACACATGTTTAGCCTGGGGTCTGCTAAAACACCTAATTTTTTTTTACATGTTAAGCCAGGTGTCACCCATCCTGCATTTCAACATCTGATTTCTTCTTTCTAAACTTTTACAAATGCAGAACTCTGCAATATAGTTTGATACTCTATCCCACGGGTCCTCAAACTATGTCCTACAGGCTGAATCTGGCCCACCGATGCTCCTTTATCTGGCATGCCTCAGAGGTTTTGGACTCGCTCAGAGAAAATGATCTCTGAACAAGTCCCAAAGCTCTGAGCCGGCGCAGGCGTACTCAGTGGGGAGATGGCCACCGTCGGGCTCGTGCAGGGAAGACGGGTGTGATTGCGGTCGTGCTTGGGTGGGGGAAGATGGCTGCAATCGTGTTCGGAGGGGGGAGATGGCCATGATTGCACCTGCCTTCCCTGCACGAGCGCACCTGCGATTGTGCCTGTCTTCCCTGCATAATCGTGCTGGTGGTGGGGTGGGGGTGGGGGGTGGGGGGGTGAGATGGTCACGATCACGTCCACCTTCCCTGCATGAGTGCGACTGCGATCGCCCCTGTCTTCCCTGCACGAGTGCAATCTTGTCTGTTTCCCACCCCCACAGCACTATCCCGGACATTGTAGCTAAGTCCCTTGAATATGGACATGCTGTTCCCCACCTCATCTTGGGCTTCTGCTGCAGCCCAAGCAAATGGAGCAAACATTTTTTAATTTTAATTTTTTTAATTTTTAAAAATTATTTTAATTAATTTTATTTTTTTAAATTAAGTAATTTTTAAACTCATTTTAATTTTAATTAATTTTAATGTGCAGTGTGCATAGGAATTTGTTCATATTTTTGAGTCCGAGGGGACAGTGAACTGGTCCCCTGTTTGAAAAGTTTGAGGACCCCTGCTCTATCCTGTAAAGATAAACTATTTCTGCCTACTAAGTTATTAACTACCCCTCCTAGTTTGGTGTCATCTGCAGCTTTGTACCTTCTATTCCCTCTTCTATATCATTTGTAAATCTGCTGAGCAACAACAGTTGACCTGACAGAAATCTGCCATATCCCATGTGCCACTTTGCTCCAAGTTGACAGGGAGACACTGATGAGCAGTCCTTGGGAATGGCCTTTCAACCAGCTACAGAATCATTTAGCAGCGACACGTTCTAGCACACGTTCTACTAGCTATCCGAGAGGGATGGTACAACTTTTGGAGTGCTGCACCGAGCAGGAGGTTGGACCTGATGGCCCTCTGGCCTCTTCCAACTCTAGCATTCTACGATTCTGTGTTGCCTCTGCTGTTCACAGTAAGCGAATACATTTACTAGGACCGATTAAAATGTCAGCAAATAAGGTAAGCTTATGAGTTCTTCAGAACTTGTCATCAGGTAGAATGTTAAGCAAAACACATAAATGGGAAGAGAGAGAAAGTCTGGGTGGAGTAGTTGCTTTCCAGATCTGAGGTTTACAACAGCCTTGAGATGCTGGAGGAGACTGGCAACCATGGCTTAGTCTAAGCAGGATCAAGAGAAACTGCAAGATGTATCTAAGTTTTTTTGGGACAGAAAGGCAAAACATGATTCTTTCCCCCCATCCTCCACCCCCTGCCCTGTACTTGCGGTCTATAATAGTCCATATTTATCACCAGAGTAGGAACTAGTCTTAAGACTTTTCATTTGATAATTACAGTGAAACTTTGAGAACTGGAAAGCATTGTGTTTGAGGAGATGTCAAATGGTCTGAAAGTGCCACGTTACTGTGTCTTTTCTTCCATTAAGAGGAAGGAAGGAGGGAAGGAAGGAAGGAGGGAAGGAAGGAAGGAAGGAAGGAAAAGGGAAGAGGAGCCCTGCTGGTTCAGACCTATTCCCCACAGTAGCAAGGAAGCCTGCAAGCAAGACATTAACACTATAGCCCTTTCCCATTATTTCTGTCCAATAAGTGGGATTTGAGGCAGCCAATACAGTGGCTACACTGGTTATTACATTGGGTTGTCATGTTGTGAGGACCCAGACCAATCCCCACAACCCTTAGCTTGATCTAGCTTGTTTCACTAATGATCAGGACCTGCTTCAATTGAGTTTCAGGCCTGGTTTGGGATGGAGACTGCCTTGGTTGCCCTGTATGACGTGAGGAGAGGGTCAAGGGGAATGTGATCCTGTTGATCCTTCTAGACCTCTCCGTGGCTTTTGACAACATTGAGCATGGTATCCTTCTGGACAGGTTGGCTGAGACGGGAGTCAGGGGCACTGCTTTGTAGTAGTTCCATTCCTACCTGGCTGATGGTGTCCAGGAGGTGGTGGTGGGGGATAGTTGTTCTACCTCAAGGTCGATACGCCATGGGGTTCCACAGGGCTCTATACTATTCCCCATGTTGTTCAACATTTACATGTAACTGCTGGGAGAGGTCATCAGTAGGTTTGGACTGAGGTATCAACAGTATTCTGACGACACTCAGCTCTACCTCTCATTTACATCAAATCGAGGTTAGTCAATCTCCATTCTGAACTTCTGTCTGAGTTTGATAATAGACTGGATGAGGGCCAATAAACTGAAACTCAACCATTGCAGGACAGAAGTACTGTTGGTTAATTCTCTGTCTTGATGGCCATTGTCCTGCCTCGGATGGGGTCACACTTCCCCTAAATGACAGAGTATGCAACTTGGGTTTGGTCCTGGACCCAAAACCTTCACTGGAGTCTCAGGTGGACTCAGTTGGCAGCTGCGGCAAATATGACAACTGCAGCTTTGTCTGGATAGACAGAGTCTGGCCACGGTTGCTCGTGTACTGTTAACATCCTAACTGGAGTACTGTAATGCGCGTTATGTAGGGCTGCCTTTGAAGACAGTCCAGAGAGTTCAACTGGACCAAAATAAAACTGTTCCTCTGGTGGCATGTATCAGTTTGCATGCCCACACAACACCTATTTTGTACAAATTACACTGGTTGCCAGTTGACTCCTGGGCCCAATTTAATATGCTTGTTTTAACATACAAAGCCCTAAATCGCTTGGGACCTGGTTGCTTGAAGGACCACCTTTTCTGATATACTCCTTTTGACAACTGGGAATGAGGTCCTTCTGAGAGAGCCATCCCTAAAGAAAGTAAAAAGGATGGCAGAAGTGAAGGGCTGCCCCCACCTTGGGAATGGACTTCCTAAAGAGGTTTGTCTGGTGCCATCACTGCTTTCAGTTTGGCACCAGGAGAAATGTCTTTCGCAAATATTTCGAAATGTGATTTTAACATTTGATTATAAGAACTCACTCTGCTCCAGGAAATTCCCCCCCGCTGCCATACTTTTAATTGCAATATTGGCCTGTATTTTAATGTTAGCCACTTAGAGAGCCCTGCCGGGCTATTCAGTGGCATATAAAAGTGTAAATAAATAAATGATGGGTTGGCACATTGTCCAAACCTGAATGACCATGAGTGAAGGGAATGAATGAGCATGCAAATTGTCAAGAGGGACACGCTGTCCCCCTGCTCCATGCCACTCTTGTTAAGCTTGTCCCGGCCACTGCCGGAACAGCCACCCAACAAGTTGCCAAGTGGCATGTGGAGGAGACTCACACTGGCAGAGTGTACCTACAATGATTGTGAGTCATTTTTTGCTTCTGTTTTTTCTATCTTTACCCCCCCCCACCCCCCAGAGGTCATGAAATTCATATTTATAATGTTTGGCAAACACTTTAAAATGAGCACTTTATATGCACAAGTATTTTTGGTTTAATAATTTAGTTAGATGTTTTTGCACCACTGTACTAGAGCGCAGTTCTGAAAATGCCAAAGTCATGAACCTCGGTTGGGCAAGGTCAGGGAGTCATTGGGCACCTGCTGTCAGAATGCAGCTGGCTACTAACAGTGGACACTGACCCAAAGAGGCCCCAAGTAAGGTTTTTCTCCCTTTCACTTTACTGGAGGCCATAAGCAGAGTCATAGTGAATCAGACCAATGGTCCATCTAGTCCAGCATTCTGTTCAAACAGCGGCAAACTGGATCCTGCTGCAGGATATGTTAACGAACACAAACATACTGTCTCTGGTCCTGGAAGTAGCGCAAAGACCTCGATGCTGGCAGACACTGATCTCATCGCCATAGATTTGCCCAGCCCCTTTGGAGTCTCTTGTGGAGGTGAATTCTATAATGAAACTATGTATTGTGGGAAGAAGCAGTTCCTTTTTTTTCCTGTCCTTAATCTTTCACCAACCAGCTTCATGGGATGACCCCAGGTTCTAGGATTAGGGGAAGAGAAAAATGTCCCCCCTCCACTTTCTCCACACCATGCCTAATTCTGTACACCTCTGTCATGTCTCTCCAACTCAACTGTTTTCCTAAGCAAAACAATCTCAGCTGTTGTAACTTTTTCTCATTGGGAAGTTGTTCCAACTCCTTTTCCAAACTACAGTATCCCTTTTTTAGGTGCAGTGACCAGAAATATACATAATATTCAAAGTGTAGTCACACCACGGATTTGTATAAAGGTAGCATGATGTTGGTAGTTTTCTTTGAAGTGCTTTTCCTAATTATGCCCGACATGGAGTTTGACTTTTTCACGGCACTTGCATACCCAGTCTTCACTTTTGTCAAAATGGCCACCACAAGCCCAAGATCCCTTTCTCAGTCAGTCAGTCAGTCAGTCAGTCAGTCAGTCAGTCAGTCAGTGCTAGCTAAACTCTCATCAGTTTGTCCTTGAAGTTGTGGTTTTCATTATTTTTTTGCCCCAGCTTCATTACTGCTTACAATGAACCACATTTGCCATTATCCCAGCTCAGAAAGATCCCTTTGGAGCTCCTCACAAGCCCTTTTGATTTTATCCACCCTAAATACTGTACCTTGGTGTCATTGCCCTTCGCTACTCACTCCCAATTCCAGATCACTTATGAGTAGATCGAAAAGTGTTTGCCTTATACAGATCCCTGTAGGGCCTCACCCTTTACATTCTTCCCCTGGGAAAAATTACTATTTTTCCTATACTCTATTCCTTCATAGCTTCTGCTTTCTCTTTATTTATTTATTGCTATTCCTATTTATTATTTATTCCTCCATAGCATCTGCTTTCTATTCTTTAAACAGAGCCATAAGAGGACTTCTTCTCTTTCCATATGACTGCCAAGTTTGCTCAAGAGCCTTTGATGGGATACTTTGCCAAAAACCCTTTTGGAAGAACAGTGTTTACTGGATCATGCCTTTCCACCTGCTTACTGGCATTCTCAAAGAACTCCCAAAGGACTTAACTTTGCAAAAGCCATGTTGGTTCCTTTTCAGCAGAGCTTTTCTCTCTATGTACTTATTGACTCAAGCTTTAATACTGCTTTCAGCCAATTTATCCAAAACTGTGCTATAATTTTCACAAAGTAAAATAAGAGATAACTGTGTATTTCTGTTGTGGCAGAGTTCATACATAAAGACAGAAGTTTGACTTAAGAGGATGAAATGCTTGGGATGTCTTTTGTAGAGTCATTCCTTTTACCATAAGATGCTGGTAAAATTGTTTCATCAAGAAACCTACCTGTGGTTATTTTCAAGAGTGGCAGATGCTATGTTCAGTTGAAGAAAAGCAACAGTGAACCCTGTGGCGCCTTCTCAGCTGCATGCTTTGCAAAAGTTATCCTCAGCTGTATACACATGTACATGGGTGCAAAGGAGGGAGGTGAACAATGGAGTCAAAAGATATGGTATGTCTGTTACAGTTCTGTGCAGAGCTTAAATGTATACAGGAATACCATTATTTTAGGTGGATTCAAAGACCGATCATAAAGCAATAAATAAGCATTTTTAAATAAGTAAATACAAAAATATGCATGTTTAGGTAGAAAAGAAGGATCCCAAAATATTGAAAAAAAGAACTGTAACTGGAGGCTTTGTATAATGAAATAAGGGATACACATTTCCTCAGATGTCTAAATCCTGTGCTCATTGATGAGATGAGACAGCCATGCACATACATTGTGTGTGTAACCCAATGTCTACTTTTATGTCATTTGATTCTGAACCTTCCAGTAAACTCGAAAAGCTTTAAAAAACAAAACAAAGGTGGTTCAAAAAGACAATTTTTCTTCTTCCATATTGTTTTGTCCTTTTTGGAGATCCTCTGGGTATGAAATTCTATATTGCACCAAAATCAGGCCTCAGAAGTTCTGAACCTGAAGTCTGACTGATAATTCATACAAATTGGGTTGGCAATGGAAAGGGGGTCGTGTTTTACAAAGGCTAATTTGCTTATGGAGGACATGAGAACACAACATGATTGTGTGTAACTGTATTCCCATCAACCTTACAGCTATAATTATAACTCTCACACCCTCTGCTGGCTTGTCTTAGGTTTCTAATGAGATGGCCTGAAAATCCAAGCCTCTAATTTCATTAAAGAAATTTAACTGTAATCCTGTTTCAAGGGAATAGGAAACCACCAAGGAAAGCACAATGTGGTGAAAGGGGCAAGGACAAACTGTATAAACTCAGAGAAAAACATTACAAGGTTTCAGAATGTATATTTTCTCTATCTTTGTTTAGGCTGTCAAATTTTGAAACAACAGAAGTAGTTGCTCATTTAGAAACATAGAAACAGAGCAAGTCAGAAGGGGCATCCTGGGCCATCTAGTCTGACCCCCGGCTCCAGCTGGCTCCACTCATAAAATCCCCAACATGTGGTTGTCCAATCTTTCCTTGAACACCCTCACTGATGGGGCCTCAACCACATCCCTTGGAAGCCCATTCCATATCCTTCTGCCAATAGAAAATCTTATGGAAGAAAGATAGAAAAATTACAGCTAGCCAAGCACTAAGAGAAAATTGGTACAAGATGTTCTTTCATTGGTATATTATTCCAAAAGATATTGAGAAATAGGACAAGAACTATAATGGAAATAGCTGGAAATGCAAGGAAGTGGATGGAACTTTTTACCATATGAGGTGAATGTACAGTAAGGTCAAAATATTTTGGGAAGAAATACATGCTGAAATACAGAGCGGATTTATTTTCCTATGTGCGCTAAGAACATGCTACTATTGTGCCAGAAACTCTTCCAATAAATATGGAAGAATTATTTAAATAGAGGATAAGAACAGGTAGAATTATAATTGCAACAAAATGAAAAGCAGAAAACTGCCCATCTAGTGAAGATTGGAAAAATAAATTAACGGAATATTCAGTAATGGCAAAATTGATCAACTATATAAATAGAAGACTGGTCCAAGAATTTAATGATACATGGAAATGATACATATAGTATTTAACAACTCAGAGGAAAAATAGAATTTATATCAGGATGACCTAGTTGATACATTTCCTAATCAGCTGTAAGATCAGTTAAAGGATTTTATGTTAAAGGGGAAGCCTATTGGATATCCTTTATTTAGCAATGGAGACTGGTACTATTAAGTGTTATGTATACTATGATCAAATTAATATAATTGCTTTATGAATTTAACTTACTATTATATTTTATTTGGGGGGAAAAGGAAAAATCAATTATTAATTGCTGGTGGGTTTGTGGATATTTTATAAGGTGAAATATTATTTGACACCCATGTTAAAGTGGGTTTTTTTTTCAAATAAACAAGTATTAAGTGAAAATTTTAGTTATAACATTGATAATTTTACACAAAATTACTGCTTTTTTTGTGTAATTTCCTGCACTTAGAGCTATGTATAAATTTTGTGTAAAGTCCCTTGGTATCTTTTTCATGTTACTTTTTTTTCTTTTATCTATAAAAATATAAATGAAATAGCATTTTTTCACTTTGTGCACTTAGCTGCTAAATAAAGAGCCTCACTTGCATCCACTGGACATCTGCATTTACTTTCCCCAGATCGCCTCAACCGGCATCTGGGCTCAGAGACTTTCTTAAGGAAGGACGGACGGACGGACGGACGGAAGATAGAGTGGGGAGCTGCAGGCCTGGAGCTTCACATTGTAGGGAGGGCTTTGCTTTAGGGAGGCAAACCTGGTCTTCTGAGCTGTGCCCCAGATCTTAGAGTTGCCCCAAATACAGAAACCTCAGTTGGTCAGCATACGAATAGCCTTGAAGGCACCAGCATTTTATATTTCCACAGTCTACTCATTGTTTTTTGTCACCCTGCTTTTCTGCACATATATACACACCGTTGGTAGCTTGTTTACAATAATAGTGTAAATATAGGAAAGGAAGGGTGCAAAGAGATCCCTGTGAAACGCTGGTATTTCACACAGTATCTGATCTGAACTGCAACCTTTGACTTCGGTAGAAGTTTAGCAGTTTCGGCAATGGCCAGGTACAGAACACTAATTTCTCAGGAGGCATACTGGTGAGACTCATAGGAAAGGGACCAGCCCAAGAATCTAAGCACAAGACAAAGATGGTGGGCCTGAGCTCCAAAATAAAATGCACCTCTCTTTTGAACCCAAATAAATCTCTTGAACTCAAAAGGCAGCACTCAAAAGGGTTTTCTATTTTATTTTAAACTATTTCAAATCTTAAGTGACATTAAAACCAGGAAAGGCTAGTAGATTTTTCAGCAAAATTTGTAAAGGGCATTGTCTCCAGAGTCAATGTCTGCATCTAATTTGAGGAAAGCTATTTATCAAACTCACTGCTACAAGGAAATAGTTGGGACAAGAACTGAGCTATTTTAAAGGAAGAATTAGATAACAATGAGATCAGCCATGGTCAGCCAGTTATGTTAACACCCCCTGCTCCATTTCTCACCATTTTGTGATTGATGCATCCCAAAATATCATTTGGCCACTTTACAGCTGCATCGCATTGATGGCTCACAGTTTGCCTGTTGACTACAATTACTCCAAAGTCCTTCTCGTTTTCAGTTCTTTTTGAGCCATGTATTCCCCATCCTGTATCAATGCACTCGGTTTCTTCCTAGGAGGCTTGTCCCACACTTGTCCCTTTCGACTCCCATTGTGTTGCTTTCAGCCCGGCATTCAAGTTTATCAAGATCACCCTGGATCTTCTTTTTGTCTTCTATCTACCCAGTTTTGTATCATCTGCAAATTTGGTATCTTTATTACAATTGTATATTGTGTCTAAGATGTTTCAGTGAATATGGAAGTGTTTCTCAAGAGTTTTATATGCATAGAAAGGTAAAATAGATACATATAATAAGACAAACTTTGTTTTAGTCAAGTGATCTGACTTACATACAAATTCGACTGAAGGAGGCTCTCGGGAATGGAACTCATCTGTAACTCTGGGATCACCTTCATAGAGGGAAAGCTTCAGCTCTTTTTAGTGCACTTTGCTGTCCGCAGCAGGAAGTGCAGCAGGGCTTCTCCTGCCTGCTGCCTCTGCTCTGTTCCCACATGTTTCCAGGGAGAGTAACAGTGCCAGGGTGGGGGCCAGTTGTGTCAAGAAAATCATTTTTCTGAGTTGCAGTCTTGATACATTCAAGTACCAGCACAGCTTTCTTTAAATCAATTGTGGTTGAAGTAAAGGACTTCAATGCATCACTGAGGAAAATGCAGCTGGGAATATCAGGGAGGGTTACACCTCTCTCCGCCCCCCCCCCCCCCCGCACCACCACAAACCTCACCATCACCTCCCTTTTTTCTGTTCAAGTTAGCGCTTGAGACTTGACTCAAAAATCTTTTGCAATGACTTGAGACTTGACTTGGACTTGATTGTAAAGAACACATCACTGTCAAAATCATTCTGGCTGATGCCCCGTATCGCACAGTATCAGGAGCCACACTGTTCTGGAGCGTTACCTGATGGTCAGAACAAGGAGCCCTCCTTAATTCACAGGATCAGTCCCAGGCCCTGCTGGAGCTCTCAGCCTCCAGATGAGCACCAGCTGGGATCCTTGGTGTAAGAAGAAACCCTTCCTTCCAGAACTTGCCTTAGCATCATAGGTCTTCCTGTTTGCAGTAGTGCCTGTATCTTGCCTCACTTGTATCCTGCCTCACTGTTTGTATTCTGCATCTTGTCCTGTATCCTGTGCTGCCTCAGCAGTGCAGGTTTCCCTACTAGCCGTGGGTCTATTCCTGAATCTGGTTCCTGTTGTGCTGTGCATCTTGCCTTACTGTGTATCATGCTAAGTCATCCTGTCTCAAGGTACCTGCACCTTTGTTTGTCTGAACCCTGGCCTGCTTTGTGACTAGGGCTTGGGCTTGCTATTAAGCCTTGCTTTTAGATTTTAGACCTTTTCTCTCTCCTTGCACTCTGTTGCCCTTGTACCTCTGTCTTGTCTCCTGCCACCCATGTCCTGGCTCTGGACCCGGACACACAGGGCTTCCCCCTTCTTCCCTTTGCCCAGGACTCATTTGCCCTCTCAACTATACTGATTTGGTTGGGGCAGGGAGAAAATCCATTCCAGCACCAGCATTCCTCCCACTAATGGGCAGGCACAGATTGCCCCTTGCCCGGTCATCCCTATTTTGATGAAGGTACAATAAGCTGACCTTTCCCCTTCACAGCCAGGAGCACTGTTTTACTACTGTTTGAAGAAACTGTTAAATATTTCAAGCAGCTTAAAGTGCTTGTAAATATATACTAATTGTAGCAGGGTCCTTTTGGATCCTACATTGCATTACATTAATATAATGTTATAGTATAAATTGAGTTGCTTAATCGTTATTTTTGCTGCACATTTCAATTGATTTTTTTTTTTTTTTGGCCTAAGCATCGGTGAGGTAATAAATGCTTTGATTCATTACTCTTGCATTTCAAGAATAATGCAGAGGTCCTTGAGCTTGATATTCTTTAAATTATATAGCAGACGTCTTTCATTTTACAGTTCACTCTGGTGTATAACAGTGACTAAACACAGAAAAATAGAAACAAAGCGAGTCAGAAGGGTCCCCCAGGCCATCTAGTCTGACCCCTGGCTCCAGCCGGCTCTGCTCATGACATGCCTACCATGTGCATGTCCAATATGCCATGAGTAAAATGCTGGTGTCTTGTACAGTATCATGTCATTCAAGCTGCCAGAAACACTTCAATTTGCAACTTGGTCAGAAAACTACAGGTACACAATCCTTTTTCTGTAAATGTCCTAACCCTGCATTGCCCAGTGTTACATGCTGAGACACACTAACCAACCCAGACTTAAAATTGGAGGCAGGCTTTGCTCTTATGCATAAGATTGTTTCATTTTTGAGTGGGAAAGAGTAGCAATTGGCAGCTCTCAGAAAAGCCCACCCCATGTTTTTGCAATGTCCCCTGGAAAGCATGGAGTGGTGCCTTAGTGTGTGTGTGTGTGTGTGTGTGTGTGTGTGTGTGTGTGTGTGTGTGTGTTTACTTCTGCTGATTCTGTGCTTTGTGAGGATAGTCAGAGCAATGAATGATGCAGCAGATGGCCTCCCCTCTGTGGTTGCTCTGGCTTTCATTAATTTATAAGAGCACATTAGCTTTTTTTCTTGAGGCACTCCAATGGGTCCTGTGCACACTATCGCCCTAATGTTCTCACAAGTAGAGGAAGTGAGGTGAGGCATCTGTTTTTGCAACCTTGAGGCTGTTCCCTGAATTACTGAGACCCCACCTGCCCCAATCAATCACTTACTCTTATGCCTGACTTTCTTCATAGCCAATTAAATTAACATATTCTGGTTGATTGAGGCTTCTGATTCTTTCCTGGTCTGGCCTGGAAGGGGGCACTCATAATAATAGCAATGATCAGGTTCTAATTTGGAGAAATAATGATTCTTTAAATACACACACAGGCAATTTGCACATGACAACTCAGTATTTTAATGTGAATTAATGCATTTTTTAAATAAGCTGAACCCTGTCACTGAATAGATGATAGAATGAAAGATGCTTGACAATCCACAAAACATATAGAGAACAGATTTAACAAATATATACACTTGCTGCTCTCAAGGAGCTTATAGTCTAAACTAGGCACTGCAGAAAACAAGAGGCTGGTCCCTTTGTTGTTCTTTATTAATCCTCCTCTGTAGGACACAGAAGAATCAGTTCAAGCTGCAACGACCCAGATTCAGGCTAGATATCAGGAAAAGCTTCTTCAGTGTCAGAGCAATACGACAGTGGAACCAGCTGTCTGAAGAGGTGGTGGGTTCTCTCACACTAGAGACATTCAGAAAGAAACAGGACAGCCATCTGAGTGGGATGGTGTAACTTGGTGTCCTGCAACAGCAGGGGGCTGGACTAGATGGCCTTCATGGCCCCTTCTACTATTCTATGATTCTATGATTCTTCTTTCTTCTTCCCATTTATCTGCCTGCCACTTTGCTTTGCTTTCCTACTTTCTCCTTATATCTTTGAATGTATAATCAGTTTCAAACATTTTCATACATTACAAACTGCATGCCCAAGAGGCATTATGTTAACAAGCAGAGGAAAAGGCACACCTCTGAGCTCTGCCACCTGCCGTGGAAAACTCCAGCATCTATTCAAAACATTCTTTCTGTTTAAGTGTGGCAAAACCTATTTTCTGTTTCTGCCAGTAAAAATAGCTACTCTAGGCTGACAGCAGGTGCAACACATCAAGGAGAAATCCTTTTTGTGTGGTATTCATTATCACTAGCAAAATGCCCATCTTTATGATGGGTGGAGTATGCATAGAAGAACAAGTTGTATATGATAAGTGCCCTGGGGTAACTATTACCCTCATGATCTCAGTCATTAAGGATTAATCAAGCTCTTATCTGCAAAGTGCAATATTTATGATGGACCCAGCCCTTAACCCCATTCAGAATGATAGCAGGATAGCCTATCCTAGCCAGGTCATCTTCCTGGCTTGTGGGAGAGAGGAAACGGTGTACTCTGTGATATAGGG